CAGCATCAGCACCCCATTTACATGTTTAATCGGATTAATATTTTGCTTTTCAGATTCCAGCAATTAACTTGGCTGGGCATCTCCCCCCAGTAATGAAATGATTAATTGTTTGTATATGGGTACGTGGGTTCCTACTTACTCTGCATGAGTTTCTTTTTAAAAAAAAGTTTGAAAATTAATAGTTCCTTGGCAATAGCATTCTGTTCACCATGATGCATGAGCTGTTGTGCCTCCTATTGTCCTAAATAAAATGTACTTCTTAAATTAGTCGTGGTGCATTTTGGGATAATTAGATCTACATCACCTGCAAATGTTCTGTCTCCCTTCAAATATGAAATCAATTAAGCTGTGTAAGATTAAATAGTCAACATTATGTGTGCATAAAGCCAATAAATAAAGGCACCATTCCCACTGTGCTCAGTTGGCTTGATAATTAACACAGAACTTGGAAGAAACTGGGCAGAACCTTCACACGTCAGAGTGATTTGTCTTTTTCAGCATAAAAAAATACATATCTGAGTGTATCGGTTGTAAGTTGCTTGGAAAACTCTCTTGTATGTTTCTCCCAATATGTTTCCGAGCACAATTCAAAGTGTTGGTGCTGACCTTTAAAGCCATAAACGGCCTCGGTCCTGTATACCTGAAGGAGCGTCTCCACCCCATCGTTCAGCCCGGACACTGAGATCCAGCGCCGAGGGCCTTCTGGCGGTTCCCTTATTGTGAGAAGTGAGGTTACAGGGAACCAGACAGAGGGCCTTTTCGGTAGTGGCGCCCACCCTCTGGAACACCCTCCCTTCAGATGTGAAGGAAATAAGCAGCTATCCTATCTTTAAAAGACATCTGAAGGCTGCTCTGTTCAGGGAAGTTTTTAATATTTAATGCTGTACTGTTTTTAGCACTTGATTGGGAGCCGCCCAGAGTGGCTGGGGATACCATTATTATTATTATTATTATTATTATTATTATTATTATTATTATAGGCTACTTACAGCCCACCTTCCTTCTGTCCAATACATCCACCGCCTATAGTAGATAACTTCACAGTAAGCCACTCCTACCAGGGGCATCCTAAAACCTAGCGTTGACACCTCTTCACATTCTTTAATGATCCCTGAATCGGGGGTGGGGGAGAAGCTAGCAGCTATGAATGGCACTATGTTTCGATATTATTATTATTTTAAAAAAACTACATATTCATAGACAGCTTCCCAGAATGAAGCAAAAGGGTTTCCCAGTTCTACCATAGATCAAGTTTGTGTGGACATTCACATAAATATACAAACACACAAGTGTGTACCATTCAATTACCACGAATTATTTCTAGGCACAGAAGTGCCTATTGCTGTCAACTATGGAACAACATCTAAGTACATTGGCGGGTGGCACTGTGGTCTAAACCACTGTGCCACTTGGTCTTGTTGATCAGAAGGTCAGTGGTTCGAATTCCCGTGATGGAGTGAGCGCCTGTTGCTCTGTCCCAGCTCCTGCCAACCTAGCAGTTTGAAAGCACACCAGTACAAGTAGATAAATAGGTACCACTGCAGTGGGAAGGTAAACAGCATTTCCGTGCGCTCTGGTTTCCTTCACCATGTTCCATTGTGCCAGGGGCAGTTTAGTCATGCTGGCCACATAACACAGAAAGCTTTCTGTGGACAAACGCCAGTTCCCTTGGCCTGAAAGTGAGATGAGTGCCACAACCCCATAGTCGCCTTTGACTGGACTGTCCAGGGGTCCTTTACCTACCTTTCACATTGGAATAGAAAAACCCAATAAAAAGTAATTTTACTGGGAAATGATTAGTTTGCTCATATTGTTCTTCAGTAGCCATTGTGGTTCTACTCATTTAATTTTTATTGAGAGAAAGCAGTAAGACAGGGGTGAGTGGGTTTTTTTCTCTGTTGGGGAACATTTTCTTGGGGACAATCTCTCAGAGGCTTCATGGTGGTGGTAGGCAGAGCTGAGCTGACGATGGTTTTCTCCATGGCTACCTGAGATTAGAATTCTCAATCCTATGCAGGTCAAATGAAATAATCCAGAATAATGCAACAAGGTTGAAAAAAAAATATCTTAAACATTGGTTAATTAACATTAATAATTGTATTATAAATTGGTATTGTTACCAATTTATTAGAGTGTAATTGAAAACTAATAAAAATCATTATCAAAAAGGTATCTTAAATATTTCAAAACAAAACACTACTAAAAGAAGTCAAATATAAAATGCAGATTTAAAATAGCCTAATTAACAAGAAAATAAAATATTATCATAAGCATAGAGGATATCTGCTGCTGTTGCTGCCAGTCCTGCCAATGGTGGTTGATGGCAGGCAACGGCTGTGGAAGCTCAAGCTCATGTGTAAGCTTACTAAGGCCCGGGGGCCGGATTCGGCCCAATCGTCTTCTAAATTCAGCCTGCAGATGGTCCAGGAATCATCGTGTTTTTACATGAGTAGAATGTGTGCTTTTATTTAAAATGCATCTCTGGGTTATTTGTGGGGCATAGGAATTCGTTCATCCCCCACAAGGTCTGAGGGACAGTGGACCAGCCCCCTGCTGAAAAGTTTTGCTGACCCCTGCTCAAGCTCGATGAGCTGGGTCTGCACTAAGAGAGAGCAAAGATGGCCACCGCCTTGGCCTGACCAGCTGCCCTCTCCCTGCTGGTTTTTATCAGCCAAGAGGGGCAAGGGTCCAGGGCGCAATATTCCTGCAATTCATATTATTTCTCAGACTATCACTTGTCCATAAAATACTCAAGGTTCTTCATATCTTGAGTGCAAGTCCAGTGTTTTATTCACTGCATCAAATCAGCTGTCTCTCACAGAGCTAATGAAAAGTAGTCTGGATGCTTTGTCTAGAAATACAAGGCTGCCAAATTAGTTTTAACTGAAGCTAATGACACTGAACATGACTCCTGAGATTGGTTTGTGTTATGTAAGGTATCCAGAGTTAAGCAGCGATCTTATTTATTTAAGCATTTATAGACCACATTTCTGCCAAGAGGTGGCATTGCAAATTGTTACACAACACAATTTAAAGCCACAAACAACAATAAAAAGTATTAAAAAATCCACCATCATCAATAAACCAGTCAATAAAAACCGGACAGTACAATTACGAGTGGAGTGCACTCATCATTGGCTCTATCACTGCTTGCAAGGGAAGGCGGAAGGACCCAAACTTTCTGAATGAAAACAAATAGAATTAGATCAGGTTTCAATTTTTCCATGCTCCCCAATCATGTTTTTATTCTTAAAATAAATTTTACATAACTTCAGTGTAAAATGAACATGACAGTAACATTTCTAACCCAATTCTTAAAGGTAATTAAATGAAACCAAGGGCTGCAAGTAGAATAAATGCACACCTTGGTACTGGACATCAAACTGATGCTAGTAATTTTAGGTAAAGGTAGAAGATGAGCAATGCCATGTAAAATTTCACAAGCCTGAAGGAGGGCTGAGTAAGCTTCCCTGTGGGCATGTGCGTCAGGGACTGTCGGACATTAACAGCAACCTCGCAGTGAAAGCCTGAGATCTATTCTGTGTGCTGCATTCACACAGCAGCTTCTTCCATTTTCCTAACTGTTAATTGCCATATTATATCTGAGCTTTCACATGACGTAAAAGTCCACTTCTGGAACTATACCATAATATAGTGGAAGTTTAGTGCTCATTTTCATGTTATTAGCTTCTGGGGGTGGGGGGGTGGGAATCTGTTTGCTTTATGCAAACAGATGCATATGAGGGATACTTGGGTTCTGATATTCCATGCAAATAACATGGAAATTAGTACTGAAGCCACAATGTGGTCAACTCAGGGCTTTTGGAACACTGAGGGGGCCTCGGCCCTCACCCCCAAAATATAATGGGGGGATGGCTTGGGCCCCTGGAGTTGGCACCCCGTGTCCACCCCACTTCTCCCCTGCTTTTCAAGTCTCTTTCAAAATGCCAGAGTTTTCTGTTAGCTTAGTCATCCAAGCTGAAACACTAAAACTTTTACACACACCACTGTTGGAGGAGAGCCAGCCTTCCCTGTCTCACACAGACTTAGCCCTCTTGATGGCTTCTCTGATGAGGTGGTGATTGGCCATCATCAGCCTTTGTTCTCCTTAAAGGCTTATCTGCCCGCAATGCCCTGGTTCAAAGCACATTTCACCTGCATTTTAACACTGTTAACTCCAAAGTCTGTCAGCCCATCTTAGTTCTCAAAGCACTGCTTGAACCCCAGCATCCAGGAATACTGGGGGGGGGGGGGAGTCAGAGCACCCACAAACCCATAACAATATCTTAGTAACCACAATGAGAGGAGACCAAGGTTGATGCAGCTATATAGAAAGAGTAACTAAGATAAAATTAACATTAGACCTTTTAATATTTTTTGGTCATGTATCCCCAAAAAAACTTGACTTATAAAATGTCATAATATTATATTATACATGACTGTAGGTTGGGGAACCCATCCTGCGAAATACTAGGGAGTTTTTATTAACCCCTTTAACGGCGAAATACATAACAAAATGTGTGTGTATATTTCCCCAAAAGGGTTGATATCATTTTCCAATTGAGTTATGTCTAAATTAACAAATTGCAAAAGGGTAAAAAAAGCGAGTGAACAATGCAATATATATTTTTTTAATCCAGAGTTGGGCTTTATTTATTCTTTACTGGGAAAGCAAAGCACATTCATCTTCTGATGTAACATATGTGTTTACTTTATTGTAGTGATTTGTTATGCTGGGAGCACTGATGTGACCTTTCTTGGAAAATGATTGCTTGTATATACACTACCCTTTTGTTTTAAAATACCTTAGTAAAACATTAGAAACAGGAGGGAACTATGGGGAACTTCCAGAACATGATCAACTAAGTTCAGAAGGGATGCAGGCTTTGCAAGCAAGTTAAAGGGGGCAACTAAGAGTTCATGGAACAATAGAATTGCAGAGTTGGAAGGGACCCTGAGGATCATCTAGTCCAACCCACTGCAATGCAGGAATATGTAGCTGTCGCATACGGGGATTGAACCTACAACCTTGGTGTCATCAGCACCATGCTCTTACCCACTGAGCTATCGCCTCCTAGCACTGTAAAATAGACCTTGGCTGTAAAAGGCTCTCAGAAGACTCAGGAAAGATCTGCCAAACATTACAGTGGTAGTGGTGAAATAAGCTTCTTTTGCCACCATCCGCTCCAGTATGCCCTGCAATAGACTTCAGAATGCATCTTGATCAAGTTTATCCCATATCTTCTGTTCTATACCAGCTTTGCTCCTGTTGCTCCATTGCCCTTAGCTGTGTGGTATGCAAAGGAGTTAGGCTATGTACAGGGAGGGATGTCAACCAGCCATCTCTCCAGGGGTGTAGCTTAGTGGGAGAGAATCTGCTTTGCATGCAGAAGGTCCTAGGTCTGATCCCTGACATCTCTAGGTAGGGCTACAAGATGACCACTGTCTGAAACCCTGGAGAATTGCTGCCACTCAGTGTAGGCATGATTGAGCTAGATGGACCAGTGGTCTGATTCAGTATAAGGCAGCTTCCTATTATTCCTTCCCTGTTTCTTTGATTAACTGGGGCTTCAACAGAATTTCCAGACATTTTTTTTTTTTTTTGTGGTGGTGGTGATGGGGATACAGACCTGTTGTCTTGGACTGCTTGAGAACATCCAGCAGCATGGTCAGACCACAGCTGGAATAGCGTGTCCAGTTCTGGTGCCACAGTTTAAGAAGGATATTGGCAAGCTGGAATGTGTGCAGAGAAGGACAACCAAGATGATCAAGGGTCTGGAAACCAAGCCTTATGAGGAATGGTTGAAGGAGCTGGGTATGCTTAGCCTAGAAAAGAGGAGACTGAGAAGAGATATGATAGCCATCTTCCAATATCTAGAGGGCTGTCACCTGGAAGATGGAGCAAGCTTGTTTTCTCCTGCTCTGGAGGGTAGAACCAATGGATTCAAGTTACAATAAAGGAGATTCCAACCAAATATCAGGAAGAACTTTCTGACATTAAAAGCTGTTTGCAGTGGAATGGTCTCCCTCGGGAGGTGGTAGATTCTCCTTCCTTGGAAATTTTTAAGCAGAGGTTGAATGACCATCTGCCATGGATGCTTTACTTGAGATTTCAGGGATGCAGGGGGTTGGACTAGATGACCCTCGTGGTCACCTCCAACTCTACAATTTTATGATTCTGTGATTGTGTGTGCATAAGCATCCCAGGTTAGACCGTCCTAGGTGGTCACTCATTGCTACAGGAGTCTTTGGAAGCCTAAATCTGACCAGATGATGAAGATGGCCTCATAATTACTGCCTGCTGCTCTTAAAACTCCTGCCTCTGTGTTCCTTTCAGGCCAACATTTTCTACCTCCCTGTCTAGATCTGGACAAAGTGAAGCTCCAGGAGCTACCTGCCCCCTAAGAGTGGCTCTTTGCCTTCTGTATGCAACATGAGAATGGGCCTTTTCTGTAGTGGCTCCCTGCTTGTGGAAAGCTCTCCCCAGGAAAGCTTGCCTGTCACCTTTGTTACCTATCTTTAGATGCCAGGCAAAAACATTCCTCTTCTCCCTGGCCTTTGGCTAATTAAACCATCTATGGAATTTTAAATACAAACATACATACAAACATACACTTGGGAATGTAATTTTGCGTTTTCCTTTTAAACTGCCCTGTGAGCTTTGGATGAAAGGTGGTATAGAAATTTAATTCATTCATTAGGTATCAATAAAAATAATTATTGGATTAAATTATGCCAAAGAAGTAAATATATACACAAGTGTATGCCAAAGAAGTAAATATATACACATGTGTATATATTTGAGCAATTTATACAGACTGTATACATTATTTTTTTCTCTGTCCATTTTTGTTTTAACAGCCACATGAAGTCCAGAGGGATCATGGCTGACTGACCTTTTCCCTTCGTGAATAATTTCAAAAGTTTGCTGGTGTGAGGCATATTCAGTAGAAGAGAGCGATATGCTGGTTTCCAGCTTCCTTGCCCACATGCTGACTTTCTGGCAACCTCTTGCTGCTTCCATGGACAGATGCTGAGTGACTGAAGCCGACCTTCTTCTGCCCTGCACATCTGCTTGACTGACTTGTCTTGCCCTTGTGTAGTCCTGTCCACCTGCTGACTCTCCAACTTTGCCTACCCACAAAGAATTTGGCGGTGTTGTCTTCCCGTGACTTCCACCTGTTTAGAATACATCATTCAAATTAATCCCATCTCTCCTGAGCCACCATTTGCAAATATAAAGCTTCATTTCTCTTCTCACCAATTCTTATTACATTCCCTACCTTCAAGAGGCTCGACAATGTGAAATATATTCTTATTAATAGGCTTAGTGGCAGGGATGTAGCAGCTTACTGTTGTTTCATTTCTTGGGGGGAGGGGGGAAATGAGGATGACTTAAATTAACTTGAAGTGCCAGTCTGTCTGGTATGCGGAGTAGATAAATGGGAATCATAGCTCCTGGGGGAATGATTCCAAGCTTTGCTGCGTAACTGTAATCCGTGTGCCTTATTCGACACATCTCTGCACAAAAGAAACGGCAGTGCCCACTTTGAAAATGATAGATGTGGCAAAGTCCACCTAATTATGATTACAAACACTTTTCCGGCTGGATCAAACGTGCTGTGGAGACAAGGAGTTACTTAGAATGTCACTCTGTGCACATCTACTCCCAAGGAAGTCCCACTGAGTTCAATCAGACTGACTCCCATGGAGAGAGCCCAGTATCCATAGCAGGGGATAAGAAACCTGCAGCCCTCCAGATGTTGCTGGAGTACAACTCTTCTCTCCCATTGGCCTGATCATCAGACACGAGAGCCAGTGTGGTGTAGTGGTTAAGAGCGGTAGACTCATAATCTGGTGAACCGGGTTCGCGTCTCTGCTCCTCCACATGCAGCTGCTGGGTGACCTTGGGCTAGTCACACTTCTTTGAAGTCTCTCAGCCCCACTCACCTCACAGAGTGTTTGTTGTGGGGGAGGAAGGGAAAGGAGAATGTTAGCCACTTGGAGACTCCTTTGGGTAGTGATAAAGCAGGATATCAAATCCAAACTCTTCTTCTTCTTCTTCTGAAGGGATCTGGAGTCCCACAACAGCTGGATGGACATTTGGATTTCAGACATTTGGTGCATAGGATTGCACCTGCAGCCTAAAACATGTTCAAGTGAAATAGATGAGTTTCAAGTCCACAAGACAGAGGGAATCAAACATGCTTGATTATGTTGGTTGTTAGTTGAAAAGATTACCATTTTATTAACTTTTCTCAATTAATTGGTAGGGCTCCACAGACAATACAACATGCAAGAGTGGTGACTACACTGGTGCATCATTATATGCATTTATTGGGGCCTTGGTTGGTTATTTTGACATCCTGGGATGCACCCATGAAAATCAGAAATCTTGCCAACTGATGCTCCAGTGACAAACCAAGCTTGATGTCATCCTAAACTTCTAACTGCCACTGAAAACATCAGCTCTGAGTCTCACTCTCCACATCCTCCTCTGAAATATGTAGAAAATATGTACCCATGTCCTGGCATTGAAACATTCTGTATTTTCTAGACTTGGTCACACCTTTACTTCTGGGTGTCATTTTCCTTGTCAAAATCACCCCATCAAATAAAATAAAGCAAGTCTATGGCTTGATTGTCTTCTGCATTCTCTGCTTTTCTCGATGCTGATCTGTCACAAACCGACTCGAAAGCCTCACTGTCACCTCCTTCACTTCCCAGAGGATTGAAGAACTGTCCATTTCCCTGGCACTCTGGGAGATGATGTCATTGCTGCTGCTCTAAACAAAAATTAGTTCTGGAGCTACACTCCCCTGCATGTCCTTTCTATTACACCTGTGAGTATAACACAGAGAAAAGAAAGATCATATTATGCAAAGGATGAGGGAGCGGCTGCCTGGCAGGTGGGCATTCACTAGTGACTTTTGAAACCTCCATTGTCACACTGTTGCATGCAAGGCAATCTAAAGAAGACTCCAAGAAATGAACGAGACACTACTCTGCTGCTAAGGCATATTGACATGTACAAGGAAATCCAATTTTCTCACAGTTTTTCTTACCTCATTCAACCTGCTTTTTTAAAAAAGTAAAACCGCACAACCCATAAATACACACAGAGAAAAATATTAATTCTGCTATGAATTATAGTCAGTCAGCCTATTACCAGAAGCGCTGAATGAAAACCTAGTCTCTCTGTATTAAAGTAAATCTTTTTTATTGTTTCCCAGGCACTCCTCAATTAGGGACTCAACACTTCAGTAAATTTCACTTTGCTTCTTTTGTTCCCTAGACTAGATAAATGCAAAGTGCCAACATCTGTAGTCCATAGCAAAAGAAAAGAAAACCACCCTGAGTGACTGTGGTGGATGTCACACAGAGAGTTTCAAGCATCCTTAAGGTGGCAGCAACAATCAAAAAAGTATCTTCAAGGAGGCTGCCTTAAAACACAGGGAGGTGTTGGGGGACGGGGATGGAATAGAGAAGAAATTCTTCCCAAGTTCCTTCTTTAATCCTCCATTTTCTGCTCAGCAGAATCGTATTCATAGCCAGATTATTCATTATTAAGAGCTTATTTCAGATCAAAACCTGTATGTCAGTAGATTAGGACATGGAGGAAGATTAGCTTCTCACTGTAGGTGGTGAGAATAAGTTTTTTATCTTATCATTAGCATGGACTTTCATGGTTTTTGATCATAATTATTAATTCTGCCAGCAGACATTTGCATAAGGATTAAAATGCAGATAGGTGTCATTTAAATAACGCAGTCAAACTGAAAGTAAGGTTTAGTGATGGGAAAATCCTCTGTTTCATGACAGCCAATTTCCTTTTTGGAGTTTTTTTTAAAAAATGCCATTTTATTGCTTTCATGGTTTTTTATGAAGAAAAAGCATTTTCATAGGTATGTGATGTACTTTTAATAGTGTTTTTTTTCTTGATCCCCACTCCCCTCGATTTGTGCAATTAGCACTTGAAATTCTTAAGGCTGATAATGTCCAAATATATGAAATGTTGCTGCAGGTTACTGATTGAAAGAATTCATCAAACATAAATACAGGGGAATCATTTTGGGGTGAATTCCAATGAAGTGGCTTTCTCTTTTTTACTTCAGTTCTGATCCACTTCTTGACTGTTGTTATTGTTCTCAGTTTTTTAAGAAGTGGAGATGGGTAGGTAGGTAGGTAGGTAGGTAGATTGTTACGAGTTTGGGGCAGGGGGTAGGCTGTATGCCGAAACCCTTCTATTTCCTGGATCCAGCAAGTATTGAAGTCTAAGCAAGGATACAAATTGTTGAAATAGCCAGACAATGTGATGTCTGGCTATCTTCGTGAAGGTTATTAAGGTAACAAGGGCAGTGGCTCTATACCAGACAGCTCATGGGTTGGTTCCCCTCCCTCAACTTGCTGCTAGTTAGTTA